TCCTTTAGCTGATAAGGAGTTAATATCCAAAATATATGAAGAACTCATACAACTTAACAGCAAAAAAATAAGCAATCTGATTAAAAAATGGCCGTGGGACAAGAATAGACATTTTTCCAAAGAAGACATACAAATGGCCAACTTGAAAAGATGCTCAAAATCAGTAACCATCAGGGAAATGTAAATCAAAGCCATGTGAGATTCACCTGGCACCTCTTAGGATGGGTGTTATAAAAAGACAAGAGATAGCAAGTGTTGGCCAGGATGCGGAGAAATGGGAATCCTTGTGCACTGTTGATGCGGATGTAAACTGGTACAGCCACTACAGAAAACAATATGAAGGTTCCTCAAAAGTTGAAAATAAAACTGCCCTGTCATCCAGCAATCCCACTTCTGGGTATTCATCCAAAGGAAATGGAAAGTACTGTCCCAAAGAGACATTTGCACTCCCATGTTGACTGCAGCATTATTCACAATAGCCAAGATATTGAAGCAACTTAAGCATCTGTCTGAGTGTGATTGGAGAAAAACATATGCTATGTGTGTTTATACACACACACACACACACACACACACAATGGAATATTATTCAGCCATGAGAATACAGGAAATCTTGCCATTGTGACGTCATGGCTGGACCTTGAAAGCATTACACTAAGTGAAATAAGTCAGACAGAGAAAGAGAAATACTGGACGATCTCACTCACATGTGGAACCTAAAAAACCAAATTCATAGGAACAGAGAGTAGAATGGTGGCTGCCAGGGGCTGGGGGTTGGGAAATGGGGAGATGTCGGTCAAAGTGTACAAACTTCTAGTCAGAACTCGAATAAGTTTGGGGAGCAATGCACAGCATGGTGAGTATAGTTAACGATACTGTATCATATAACTGAAAGTTGCTAAGAGAGTAGGTGTACATGTTCTCACCACACACACACAAAATGGAGGTGTTAATGAACACGCACGTAACCCTGTTCACTCTATGTGTGGATGAAATCATCCCCTTGTACACATTAAATTAGCACAATGTTCTATGTCAATTATACCCCAACAAAGCTGGAACAGAAATAGAATCATTAACGGGTTTTGTAAGATGTGGTCTTGTCTGTTGTTCTCCATAGCTTCAGAGGTGACCAACGTTCCCTCAGAGTCCATGATCCAAGACCATAGGATCTTCTTCTAGCTGCATGAACACACACACTCTCTCTTCTTTCTCACCAACCTGTCTCCTCCAGGTGTCTCCTCTTCACTGTACAGGACTTAAGATTTGAAGACAGTTCTTCTAGGAGGCCAGACTCAAATCCCCCACTTTGGGGCTCATTTCCGAGCTTACTTGGCATCCATAGCCTGCCCATCAGAACAGTTGCTACATCCACGCTGAGTTCTCTCCTTGCCATCAGGCTGCGGGCTCCACGACGGCAAATTCCGGGTCTACCTTCATTCCCCAGAAGGCCCAGAGCTAGCCCAGAGCCCGCACTCCAAGGGTGTGCATCCGTGTTGGCTGAATGAGAAAACGAACACGTGTCCTTTATTTGTGTTGGTGCCTTTTCAGACCTGGACTTGATTTCTGGTCAGTGAGGGAGAACAGAACAGACGCTAGGGATGTCCCTGCAGGTGGTCTGTACTGGGAGGCCCGTCAAGGGCAACAATTGGTGACGAGCAGGTAGATGGACTCTTGGCCCCCACGGGAGGGAGCAGAGTGACACCAAGCCCCAGAGTCAAAGATATGGAGCCAGGCTCCCCCCTAAACGAGAGACTCAGCCTTCCACCAGCGAGACCCAGACCCAGACGAAGATGAGCCCTGGGCTGCAGCCCCAGGCTCCTTAGCCACCTGGACCCAGGGCAGGAGGGAACGGGGCTGAGGGCTGGGGCAGGTCAGAGCCGCCTCCCGTGGGTGCCAGGCGGGCCCAGCCAAGGGATGAAGAGCCCCAGGGACCTGGACTCGGGCAGATGAGGACTTAATTCACCTGGAAAAGCCTCTCAGAATGTTCTTTCTTGCCTCTAGAGGAGCTTTCAGACTTAGGAGCAAACATTTCAGTGACTTCCTGCTTTCTTACACATGTGCATGTGTGCGTGTGCATGCACACACACACACACATATCGCCACTGATCCCCTTTCTCTTTCACATTTCTAACAGGCCCTTCCTGCACCTCCTGCTGCCCCCGTCCCTACTCTCAGCTTGTCCCCCAGGGACCAGCTCCTCTGCCCTCATCTGTGTCCCCTGCCCGAATCTGAGACCCACGACTGCAATCTCTCTCTGGTCTGTGTCTTCAGCCCTCTTAACCCCGTCCTCTGCCCAGCACTTGGCCTTCTTGAAACCCCCAAGGAGGCTGCTGATTGTGGAGGCAGAGACCCACCACTACAGAGGCTGAAGCCGCCAGCACTTCATGGAATCGGGCCTCTAGGGGACCCATTGCTGAGCCTGGCAGACCTGCTGTGACACCCTGGTCCGCTCTCTGTCCCATTCCATGATTCCCCTACCCTCACCCCTGGCAAATGTCACTCAGCAGGTGCCTTTGCCTCCTACACTGGAAATGACCAGAGCCATCAGAGAGGAGGAGGCCCCCTAGCCTCCTGCTGAGAAACACACACCTCCCCCGGGCCCCAGCAGGCCTGTGCCTGCCTTCCTGCCACAGTGGGAGCCTCGACCCTGGACTCTCGCCCTCCACCTGGTCTGGATCCTGTCCCGTCTCATCCCATCCCAGGACCGGGCTCTCTCTGGGGATGCTTCGTGCCACCCTGATGGTCGCTCACTGTCCACGTTGGGGCGGGGCTCAAGCCACCTATACTAATTGTATCTTAGGAGCTGTGCTACGCTGCATCCCTGGCTGTTTGTCACCCCACCTCCTGAATATTTCCTACAGTCCGAAAAACTTGCCCGTGTTCCCGCATCTTTAAGCACACAAACTTCTCCAGCACAGCTCTGGCCACCCCCCCACCCTCTCTCTCCTCCCCTAAAAGGCTAACATCTAGAAAGGTCGTCCGCACTCACGCTCCCTCTCCAGCCTACTGCAGTTTTCCCCTAACTCTCTGCATGCCCCGCCTGCCCTTCCCGAGGGGCTGTAGGTAGCTACATCCCAGGGGCCCATTCACTGTTACCTGACCCCAAGTCCTCCCCCTGTCCCCTGGCAACTCTCGCCTCTTGGTTTCTGGGGACGACTTTCCTTGCGCCCTCCTCCCTCCTCTGCCCTCTGGTCACTCTCCTTGGTGAGCTGCCTTTCCCAGTGGCTCCTCCAGGGCAGCCTCGCTCTGCTCCTCGTGCTCCCTGGCATTACTGTAGGGGCTTCCTCCCCTCGGTGCTCACCTGCCCATCCGGCAGGACGAAGCCAGCCCAGATCTCTCTCCTGAGGAAATCCCTCGGTGTCTCCCGGGAACCGCAGACTTGGGGTGTCCGAGCCTGCACGTGTCCACGTCCCCTCCCAGCACGCTCCTTCGGCCGACTGTCCTATCTCAGCGAATTCCTGTCATCGCCCAGGGGTCAAACCCTTATGCGGGGGTTCCCTCCCTTCTTCCCCACATCCTCACGAGTCACATCACGTCTCCTCGCAACCCCGCTCTCCCTCTCCAGCGGGGACTTGCTTCGCCCCGTTTCCTGTGACAGCCCCTCCAATGCCCCGCCCGCCCCAGGTCCTGGGCCAGAATCACTTCTCTACACAGCAGCCAGTCATTTTTCTAATATGCAACTCTGCTCACATCAACTCTCTATTTAAACTCCGTTAAAGCTGCTGCAGCTCTAAGGAACTGTTCCAGACTCCTTACTGGGCTGCCAGGCCCTAGGCGGCCCAACAACTCCATTGTGGTCCCCTCCTTTCTGCCACTCCTCCACTCCTTGCTCCAGAGCTGCCCAACTCCTTTTGATTTCTTGAAAATACCCCCACTACTCTTTCTCCTTCCTGGAACATTCTCCTCTCTGTTCACTTGACCATCTTCTACTCTTCCTCTGCTCACAGCACAGAAATCACCTCCTCCTGGAAGCCTTCCCTGACTTCCCCAACCGAGTTTGGTGTTCTCCTCTTTGCTTCCAGAGCCGTGTTTCATCATCTATCTCATCTATCAGATTCTAAGTGCCATGAGGGCCATCGTTGTGAAAATTTTTAAGGACAGAATCGCTTTGTGGTGAGAGTGTTCCTGATATCGAGCAGGTTGGGATAACATCCTGCTGGCAATAATTACTAGCTGTGTGGCCTTGGGAGAAATTACTGAGCCTCTCTGTTCCTCAGTTTCCTCCACTATAAAATGGGACTAATAATCGAATCTGTCTCTTAGGGTCATCACGAGGGTTAAACGGGCTATTCCAGGTAGAGCCTTAGCAGATTGCCTGGCAGAGAGATGTCAGCTCTTCAGTTGTTGACATCGTCATCATTGCCTTTTTGTCCCTAGAGATCACTCTGTTCCTGATGACATCGGTGGGATGAGTGACCGCATGGACCACTGCTACAGCAGGTGTGCACTGACAGCTCATTGCCCCCAGCCATGCACTCCAGGCACGGAGGGGGATCACCTGAGGGGGAGGACTTGGAGCTGCCAAGGCAGTTGAGGAGCTCCTGCTGGGAACCTGGGAAGTAGCTACTCTCCTCAGATGAGGGTGCTGGGGGGCAGAAGGGGAGATCCCAGAAGGGGGAAGGCCCAGCTTAGCTGTAAGAGCGAGGGGGTCCAGAGGCTGTGCCAGGTGTGGTCGGGTGAGGAGCCTCTGCAAGGGGCAGCACGTGGGCAGATCCCGGGCCCTGGGGGAGAGAAGAGTGAAACAGGAACTGGGTCCCGAGAGCCCAGGGGAATAGGAATCAGGCAGCAGCTTACCCCAGTCCTGGGGCTGTGGTCCAGGCGGGCTTGGCCACAGGCACAAAGTCTGGCCCTGGCCAGGCTGATGAAGCTGAAGGCAGAGGGGCCTGAGCCGGGGGTGGGGCTGAGCCTGTGTGGGAAGTCTGGGGCTTGGCCTTGGGGCAGAGGCAGGGGCAGGGGTCAGACAGATCAGGGTGGAAAGGCACAGGGAGAGCACCCAATTGAAGGAAGATGGTTTATTGCTGTCGAGAGGTCTCAGGGTCTCCAACTGAACAGGACACAGGCTCCCTGTGCACGTGGGAGACTCCAGGCAGAGTCATCGTCACCTTTCCAAGGATGAGCAGGCAGGGCCAGGCACACTAGCTCCTTGGAGCACAGAGGCCAGGCTGTACCCAGAGACCCGGGCAGCCCGCTCCTTAGTGAGGGGCTTGACTGGGATCCACAACTTTGCCCCCGAAGAGGATGCTTTGGGTATCTTTGCTGATTATAAATAACAGAAAGGGCCTGTTGAAATCCACTATCAAAGGGTTCATTACTCCGGACGAGAAAGCAATGTTGATTCCTGTGGCAGCAGCTGCTTCCGTGCCCTCCTCGGCCACATCAAGCACAGTGCTATGGACCACCTGTGGGGACACCAGAGCATTATCCACCAGAGACAGGGTGGGCGGGAGGTCAGCAGCCTGCCTGTGTACCTCTCAGGGGACTGACATTTATCCAGCACCTACTGCTGGCTGTCACCGCACTGGCCAACTTGTCCAATTTGTTGGTTTCTCCCAACCACCCTGTCAGCCGGTTTTGCATAGTCCCGATGCACAGATGTGCAAACTGAGGCTCAGAGGCTGTGAGTGATCTTCCCAGGGTCATAGAGGTACAGAGTAGGGTGCCCTGATCTGAATCTCTCTCTGTCCGAGTCCAGAGACTGTGCTGCCCCCAAAACACCCACCCTTGTAGGGGCAAGGGGCAAGCCCAATGCAAGGTATTTTTCTTGCAATAAACTTCCAGGGGCCCCTCCATCTTGAAGCAGCTGATGCAGACCCCTCCTCGGACTGGACGAGCCAGCACTGCTGTCAGCACCTCTCCTGCCCCAGCTTAAACATCCTTGGAGTCCCTGGCTATTTTGCATGGGATGTGGCTTCAGATCCCTGGACCACACGGACCCCTCCAACTACATCCCTCTGTTACCACGCCCTTTGGAAGGTGGGTACAGAGGAGAGTGGTTCTCACCACTCTGCTTCTAGGAACACAGCACAAGGGTCCCTGGTCTTCTCTCTTGCCTTTTAGTGTATTTCCATCATAACTGCCCCATAGCCACTGACACTACCTCTTAGCCACTCTGCCAGGCCCTGCACACTGCCAAGCCTATCGCCCCCATTTTACAGATGAAAAAGCCGAGGGGTACAGGACTTTAATGATTTGCCCCCCTTAGGCAGCAAAAGGTGGAGCATGGGGTGGCGTCCACTGCTGATCCCACCCCAGGCTCTTCCCCGTGATGGGCTTTTGTGTCGCATTACATTGCAAGGGAGGTGGGGACCAGCCCCCACATGCTGATGACCCAGCTCTCCTGGGCTTGGGGGAGTCCCGGGGAGGGGGAGAGGGTAAGGAGAAATGCAGGTATTTATGCCAGTTCGAGACTCCCCAAACGACTGCCTGGCCTTCTCCATTCAAGCTCTGACCCAGAGGATGAATTGTCCAAAGTTTAAAGACCCACCTGGGTAACGTACAGGTTAGGGGTTCCTGTGACCCCTGACAGGTCAGCCTTGGTGGTGAAGACTTTCTCAATGCCCAGCTGGGTGAGTATGGTTTCCAGCTCATAGTTGCTGGAGATGGAAAACTTTGGCAGGTATAATTCATCTATCCACCTAGGAAATGAGAAAAATAAATTTGAGCATCGGCTTGACTTGGTGCTTGCCCTTCCCCCACCTCACAGCAGGTCTTGCCTGGTTTCCTCTCTGACCACCCCCTTCTCGCTGGAAATTAGTTCTCCTTTGTTGGTTTCATGACCCCTTATGCTTACTCTTCTTAATGCATTAATTATCCATTCCTGTCTCTAAGTGCCCACAGGTGCCAGGCAGTGCGCCAGGGCTGGGTGGCTCCCCACATCTGGCCCTGCCCTTCTCTTGCAAGCTTGTGGTGCAGCGAGAAGCACCTTCCCTCCACAAGGGGGCTCCACCACGGGCTGGGAGACTGTGCAGGGGCAGCCGGCTCCAGGGGCACCAGGAAGGCTTCCTGCAGGAGGTGGCATGGAGCCTGTGTCCCGAAGGAGGAGAAGGAGCTGGCTGGGTGAAGAGGAGGGCAGGAGGCAGCTGGATGAACTTGCAGGAGGGGGGAAGAAAGAAGGGATGCTCACAGTGTGGAGGGCAGCCTTGAGGGGGCGGGGGAGAGATGGGCGGCCAAGCAGGGGCTAGAGGCATCGAGGCTGCATTCCAAGGGGCTTGGGGATCCTGAAACAATTAATTGAAGGTCCCCATCCTGCCTCCCTGGTGAGCTGTGTGAGGGCAGGGGCTGCTTCTGCTTCAGAGCAGAGCTGGCAGTGAGCTCTTGGAGCAACAGATGATGTCTCCCACCTCCAAGCGTCCCTCTCTTGGCTTCCATCTCCCTTAAGACTCTTGTCATCTCCCATTAAACTTTGAGTCCCACGGGAGCAGGGAAGTATCTATTCCTCTCCATGCTCATTCATTCATTCATTCATTCATTTATTCATTCGTCTATTCATTCAACAAATACTTATTGAGCACCCGCCATGGCCAGGAATGTGTACGGGCGCATTTCCTCAGTGCTTTGTAAATTAAAGGTGAATATTCTATCCATTTACAACTATTCTTTGAGCCCCTGCTATGTGGGAGCTATTTGGTGTCAAGGGAAGGAAAGCATCGTGAAGGGAGTCCAGGGATGGGTGGAGTGGGGTCCCTGTGTCCTGGGGTCTCCTGGGACCCGCAGTGAGGAGGGGCTGAGAGTCAGGCACCCTGGGAGGTGTCTGGCCTCTGGACAGCGGCTGGGGAAGAGCTGCGGCCTCAACTTTCTGTCTGGGCAGGTCCCCCGCCCGTTGTCGTTTAGGAAGTGTCTTCCACATAAACTACCCCTGTGGGTTCTCATCACTGCCCATCAGGACGAGGGTTGGGGGCAAGGACACTCCTCCCGGCTGGTAGGGAGCTGAGCTCCAGAGAAGAGGAGTGAGCTGCTGAGGTCACACTTGCTGCCCATGAGCCTTGGGAGGGGGACCCTGGGTGTGGTGCTCTTTCCCCTGCACAGCTGTTCACAAACCTCCCTCTGCCCCACCGTGGGGCCTGGGCCCAGACCCGCCTCCCTCTGCCCAAAGCCACGCAGGCAGCAAAAGGCAGGGTCACCCCAAACTCCCCCTGTCCTGCAGGCTCTGCCCCACTGCACCCTGGATATCAGCGAGGCGCCCAGTCGTGGCGGACGGGGAGTCGAGGAGGAGCTGGGATGGCAGGAAGGGAGGTGGGTGCAGGGCAGTCACCTCATCCGCAGAGAAGCTCGCCACCTCCTCAGGGTCTCTGGGAGCAGCGCGGCCTCCACGGCCCCCAGTTGGCCCTCGTCGGGGAGGATGAAGAGTGCGCTGTCATCGCTGATGTACTGGAGCTCCACCACGGTGCAGGCAAGCTCCTCGTCCCGGAAGAAGGGCACCATCCGCTCCTCGAAGCTCATTTTGGGCACCTGCACTGACCTGCTCCTGCTCACATGGAACGCCGACTCATACGTGTCTCCGGGGTCAAACGGGGTCTTCCACTTGGCTAGAGGCAGGGTAGAGGGGGGAGCATTTGGAGAACTCTGTGAATGCGAGGGCTACCCTGCCTCTCCCCCTCCTCTGCCCGGGTTCCCTGAGCCATGAAGACACTCAGTGTAACAATGGCCACCCCGTGATTCCTCTTAGGGATGGCCCTGTCTTGGTTTGCAAAAACACCTCGACAAGGGGCTGGCTGGTGGCGTAGTGGTTAAGTTCGCCCTCTGCTTTGGCAGACTGGTGTTCACGGGTTTGGATCCCAGGCACAGACCTGCACACCACCCCTCAAGCCATGCTGTGGTGGCATCCCAGATACAAAATGGAGGAAGACTGGCACAGATGTTAGCTCAAGGCCAATCTTCCTCACCAAAAAAAAAAAAAAAAAAAAAAAACCACCCTGACAAGTTGGCAAGCTGTTAAGGATGGATGGCGGTGAGCCCTGTAGGTCTGGATTGGGAAGGGGGCCATGAATCAAAGACCTGGTTAATTGGGCTAAATGAGAATCCTCCAGGAATTTGGGAGAGATGGGAATTAGGCTGGGGGCCTGGGGAGAAATGGGACATCCCTAACTCCTTAAAAGGAACAGTGTTAGTACCCTTGTTCGTCATTGGCATTGCAGGGATGTGCACATATACCCACAGCCTTGTGAAGCAGGCTGAAGAAGCAAGGAGCAAAATAGGAACCCCGAGGGCAGAGCAGAGGTCACCCAAGGAGAGGGGAACAGGTCTGCACCCCAGGAGGACTGGAGCACTCAGTGGGGTACGCGGGAGCTTGTTGGGGAGATTAGAGACCTGGGGGCTGCCTTGGAAGTCTGAACCACCTCCCCTGCTCGGTTTGCTTTCCACCATGGCCGGCATCCCCATTGTTAGAGGCAGGAGGCGGGGGAAGCCCGGGTGGCTGGTGTGTCCCTGGGGAGGAGAATTTGGAGGCAAGAGTCCTGGGACAGGCAGGGTGGTAGGAGAAGAGAACACCGGAGACTCAAAGAACAAGCAGAGCGGGTCAGGGCTGGACGAGGTTTACAGAGAAATCCCGTTCCACACCTTCACAACACGGGTCCAGGAGGGCTTGCCCAGGGCTCTCTCTGGGTCTCCACGCAGCTCCTGTCTCCTAGGCACCTCACCACCCTCTGACTCAACGATCCTTCTTTGTGCTCCTGTCTACTCCTTGTCCCCATTTGGACTGCTGGCTCCGTAAGGAGGGACCTCTCTGTGCCCCGCCCCTTCAGAACCGACAGCTGAGGTCTGCATTTGTTGAGCTCCTGCCAATGGGATCGGGCACTGGACCCACTGGAATCTGAGAAAGGGCCCCCCCGGGCTCTTCCCCAGATGATGACCTGCCATTTCCACTCTTAAGGTTATAGGAGGGAAGAGCTGCAGAACCTTGGGGTGGCCAGGCTCCTTAGAGGCTGTCTTCCCCCTAAGATAGCCACCAGCCCTGCTGGGACACTCCCCCCACCCCTCCCACCAGAGACTAAGTGCCCCGAGTCGGGATAGAGCCCAGGTCAGAAACTGTCCTGCAGTGTGCACAGGCAAGGGCCGTCCTGAGCATGTCCCAAAGTGTCTCTTCAGAGAGAGAGCTGAAGTTCTCGCCCACCCCCGAGAGAATTGAAAGGAGGGCTTCTTCCTTCCGGTAGCCGGGCAAGCGTAAGTCAGAATAAAAAGTGCTGCTTTGCCTCCAATAAAGGGTTAATGAGCTCTCTGTGGTTGTGTCCTGCAGTGGCCAACTGTAATTTGTAAAACCCCAAGAGAGGACGGTGCCTAGGGGCAGGTGGAGCCTTGGTGCCCACGCCCCTTCCTGCGAGCAGTTGGCCTAATCACACAGTTCATGAGCCAGGACAGAAATAGCCCTGGAGGCTCAGAGCTAAAAGTCCGTTTTCTGCCGAATCGCAGGCCGGGCACTTACCTTTAAGGAGGATGTAATTCACCAGAACCATCATTGTGTTCTTGCAAAGGCCCCCGACCAAATGCACAATTTTCCCCTCGGTTTTCTTCTCCACGTAGTCATTGATGAGCTTCTCGGCTGCGGCGGGATCCTTGAAGTCGGTGGGGAAGGCCTCAGAGGCGTACAGCGCCTTGGCGTCTTCCCTGAACTTGTCCAGCAGCTCGAGCTCCTCCTTGAGGAACATGGCGTTGCCCACGCTCAGCTGCTGCTGTGGGTTGGGCTGGCTGAGGGTGTGCAGGAGGTGCTGGAAACCCTGATGGATTTCCGTCTCGGGGGTCTCCGTGAGGTTGAACTTGAGGCCTTCCAGGATCTCCGTCAGGGTAGTGTTGCGGGCCCCCAGCGACAGGAAGGCCAAGGCGATAGAGATGCTCAGAGGGGAGAAGATGACATTCTCATTGGGGGTCTGCGCAGCCAGCAGCTTGTAGAGGTGGAAGGCGAAGTCGGTGTTGCTGGTGGTTAATCTGAGGTTGTCCACAGACGTCCTGTTGGGTTGGTCCTCCTGGGCCACATTCCCCGAGTCAGGCATGTCCCCAGGGAGGCAGTGGACTGTGGGGCACAGCCCAGCCACCAGGAGCCCCAGAGCCAGGAGGGGTGACATTCTCTCTGCCCTCAACTCTGAAAAGCAAAGCTCCGTTAATCTCAGAGGTGGTGCCCTGACCACCTCCCGCTGCCCTGGTGTGGCCTGCCTTCTGGTCTCCGCCTCTGCTAGCTCTGCGATCTCCCATGGGTAGGCACCATCCTGGGCACCCAACATACACGACTATATTCTGTGCTCCCTCTCACCCTTTGAGGTAATTACTATAATTGTGGCCATTTTCCCCAATGAAGAAACTGAGCACAGAGAGGGGAAGAGGCTTGCCCAAGATCACACAGCAAGCAAGTGGAGGCGGGGGAGGGGCAGTGAGAAGCCTGTTTACCTGGCTTCTGGGTGGGGTAGCTAGTGATGGGTGTGAGGTGCCGTGCAGTCAGAACGCAGCCTCCGCTTCCTGCTTGGTGAGCAGGCTGGTCAGAGGGGGCTAGAAAGCAGGGGCTCCTTTCCCCTTATAACCCTCTTTCTGCCCCCCCGGAGAAGCCCAGGAAGGAGCCCTGGACAGAGGCAGAGACCACAGCTGCTTTCTGGACCTCTCACTGACAAATTGTGTGACCTTGGGCACTCTCTGGGTGGCGCCTGGTCGCAGTGAGGGCTCCTCAAGAGAGGGCACAAAAAGCAGCTCGAGCCATGTTAGAGCATAGATGGTCCTGATAAGGGTGGATGCAGAGATCAAAGGAAAGAGGAACGTTCTTTTCAGCCCCTACCAGGTTGACACATGGGGGTTGTTACCACTGTAAGCCTGGAAAGGCCTTCTGTGGGGAGAAAGCACTGTGGGCCTCGGAGTCTCAGAGACCTGCATGAGGATTTCATTTTGGCCACTTGGGTGATGGCTGTGTGGTGACAAGCAAGTGACTCAACCTTTCTGAGCCTCACTTCCCAACTCTGTACAAGGGGTTGAGTAGCTCAGGTGAGATGAATGGTGAAGATGCCTGGCTCCTAATAGGTGTTCCAGAGGCGTTACGTCCTCCTACACGTCCCCCTTCTCAGAAACTACAAGCCAGAGCTGCAATTCTGTGGGGAGAGAGGATGGAACTCTTGCAGGATCGGAGAGAGTCCCAGTTCAAAGCCAGTGACTGCGGGCAAACAGGGTGATTTACCTTCAGGCTCCGCCCACTCAGTCCAAATTCAGAGGAGGAAAGGGCAGCGTGTGTAGCGGGGAGTGGCCAGGAAGGAAGAAAAAGAAGAGGGAAAGGGAAGGAGGAAGAGGAGGGGCGGGCAGAGGCGGGGTGAGGGGAGGAGAGGGAGTCGAGGCCCCTGGACAGGCCTCCTGACAAGCCCAGGGACACAGGCGGCTCCATGCCCTCAGATGTTTGTTCACTCTCCGCTGATGCAACCATTTCTTTGGAAAAGAGTTAAACGTTATTTTCCCCCCAAAATTATTTCTGAAGAAAAAGGGCTTTTCAGCTCGGGCAATTTGGCAGGCTGACTGTTTCTGAGCTGTCTGTCTTTCCTGTTGCTGGGCAGACGCAGCCTGCTTGGCTGGGGGCCCTGGAGGGGAGGCAGAGCCCCCAGAAAGCCCCCATGGAGACCCCGTGGCCTCTGCCCAGAGGGACCCAGGACAAGGACTCCGTCCGCGGCACGTTCTGAGAGCAACTCCCTGTGCCAGGCCAGGGGAAGCAACTTCTGCCCTCGGGGGAGTTCTGATCCTGAGGGTTGATACACAGCTGTACGGGGGTGGGGGGGGGGGGGGGGGGGGGGTGGTCCACAGCCGCCTCGAATCAGAATCCAAAAGTGTCGGAGGCAGAAATGACCATTGGAGACCCGTGGCCCATCCTCCCCTTTGCAGATTGAAAACTCAGACCCACAGAGAGGACTCATCTTCCGAGGGCACCAAAACTCTCCCCAGCACTCTGGCACACTTCCTCCCAGCTCCCTCCTCACCCACAATCCAGGGCTTCTGGCCAAGGCCCAGAGCCACCCTAGGAGAGGGGATTTCTTTGCTCCCAGCATGCAGCAACCCAGATTACCTGCCTCGGAGAGCTGGGCGCGGCTGGCCTGCCGGCTCCAATGTTGGCGCCTGCCCCCTAGAGTGTGGGATTTTCAAGGGTCCTAAGGCTTATTTATCCCTGCAAAGAACTCCTCCCCTTGCTTGGGAAATGTTTCCTGGGACAACCAAGCGTTCTGTTTTCAGACTGGACACGGTCAAATGATCGTTCCCGGCAACATGGATTTTATTAGATCTACTCAAACAATCCAGTTACAGGAACAGCTCCGAACTTTTTGTCTCTTGAAAAAAACCCAAACCCAGCAAACAAGATACAACTTTCTCATATTTTTTTTTCTTTTGCTGGTAAAATACTCATTGAGGAATGTGTGAAAATCCAGGAAACATAGAGGAAAACAATGGAAAATATGTCCCGGAATTTTATCCCCCTGGGAAGGCCCCAGCTAACGTGTTGTATTTCTTTGATAAGTTTCCCTCAGCTGGGCTAACAGTGACTTGTTTCTGGTGAAGAGAATTTGACAGAAGGGATGGGGTATCCTTTCCAAGATTGGGTTACAAAAAGATGCTGCTTCTGGGCCGGCCCCATGGCCGAGTGGTTAAGTTCACACGCTCCGCTTCGGCAGCCCAGGGTTTTGCCAGTTCAGAACCCCGGGCGCAGACATGGTACCGCTCATCAGGCCATGCTGAGGCAGCATCCCACATGCCACAACTAGAAGGACCCACAACTAAAATATACAACTATGTACTGGGGGGATTTGGGAAGAAAAAGCAGAAAAAAAGAAAGAAAAAAGAAAAAGAAGATTGACAACAGTTATTAGCTCAGGTGCCAATGTTTTAAAAAGAAGTTGCTGCTTCTGTCTTGGGTTTTCTCTCTTTCTCTCTCTCTCTCACACACACACGCACACACACGCCGGGGAGACCACGTCTGAAGCGGCCCCGGGAATAGGCCCACAGTGTGAGGGCCCGAGGCCCCTTGCCCACAGCCACGAGCTTGGACATGGCATTCCAGCCCTGTCAGGTATTCAGGGACCACAGCCCCAGCCCAGGCCTTGTCCACAAGCTCATGGGACGCCCTGAACCAGAACCACCCAGCTCAGCCTCTCCTGGATTCCTGACCCTTGGAAACTATGAGATAATAAATGTTTTCTTGTTCTAAGCTGCAAACTTTCGGAATGATTTATTACGGAGCCGCGGATTAACCCAAATCCACATCACTGGCTGGCTTGGCTCTTAGGATCAGGGGAAGACAGGGAACAGGGAAATCTGAGGATTATAAAAGAAAGCAGGTCGGTTTCACAACATGGCCTGTGCCACGTAGCCGATGCCTCAGTCAGTGGGTGAACGCTTGGCCTTCCCTATTTTTAAGCAAGTTTACCTGTTCTTCCGTTTACCCACACAGAGGCCCGGTCATAACGATGGCATAACCACAGCTGTTCTGTTCACTTTATGGTGAGAACTCACTAGGTTCCATGATCTTATTTCTCATATTGGGAAACGGAGGGACAGAGAGATGAAGACGTTCCCCAGGTCGCAGGACGGTAAGTGCCAGCTGGGATTCAGTACCAGGCAGGCCCACAAGCTCTTGCCTCCCCAGGAAACGCAGAGCCACTCCTGGCCAACCTGTTTTCAGCCTGGCCACAGAGACCCAGCGACCTTGGACGTGAGGAGCCACCTGCTGGGGTCACCCAGTGGAAGGTGAGGCGTCCTGGTTCCAGCTACAAGGCTTTGCCCGGGCTCTGCGTCAGCCTCTGGAAAGACCCCAGGAGTCGGTCTGGAATACACGGGCTGTGGCCTGGGGGTATCGATTATCGGTCACGAGGACAGTGACAGGTTTCTGATTTTAGGGGACCAGGGGCGTGAAGGCAGCTGTGGGCCGCACAGCTCTGTCCTTACGCGGATGCTGTTGAAGGGAGGACCTTGCGCGCCCCACGTCCTCCTGCGGCCCCGCGGGCGGCCTTGTCTGGCCTCAGACAGTCTCTTAGACCCCAGGGATCTCCACTCTCCCCCCCCAGGGTGGTCTCCGCCTGCCACATTTTCTATCACATCAGCCACCTCCCATCTCTTCCCCGGGGGTGCTGTGGCTCGCCCCATGTTTCAGACACTTCTGCTAACCAGAATGTTGACACCACTGCCTCTTTGGGTTCTCTCCTTAGTGACCTCTCACCCGGACCAGGCCCTCAATGAAAACTGTTGTTCTCTGCTCTCTGCAGTTTTTTGCATCTCAGTAAACGGTGCCTGCATCTCCCCAGCTCGGCCAGGAACCTGGGATCATCTTCCCACTCCAGCTCCCCTTCAGTGTGGGGTGGGGTCTCTTCATCCACATCCCTGGACCCCACTCCCTACCCTCCGTGTCTGCTGCCCACACTCAGTCGCTAGCCCCACTCCCGGTGGCAGTGACCACTGAGCTGCCCGCACCCCTCCCCAGCTGCCTGCTCCCCCTGACAGTCCACCCTTTATCTACACGGTCCCCGGAGTAGCTCTAAGAGTACAGCTCGTTCAGGGCACTCTCCTGCTTGAAGTGCCCCGCTGGCCTCCTTGTCATTCCCCTGGTCCAGAAGCGCCCGCATGACGCCAGATCTGCGGGGCCTGAAGAACATTCCTCAGAACAGAGCTGTTCCTGCAGGGCCCAGGGGTCCCCGACTTGTGGCAGGAGGAGGGAGAGTTCCAGCTCCCTTTACACATGGGGATGGCAGGAAAGTTCTGTCTCCGGCTTCAGTGTGCGTCACCACGGATGAACCAACCCCTTCGTGGAGCTTTGGGCTGCACAGCACGTGGCAGGAAGTCTTCCACGGTCCTCCCTGGTGGAGTGGGTCCTCCTCTGACTCGCCCAAACCTTCCCACGCCCCTTCCCACGAGACGCCTTCGCCTGCTGTCCCGTGACGTGACTTCCGCTTGTCTCCGCAGCAAGGACTGAGGCTTCTGGCCATCGGGATGTTGCTTCTCGCTCAGCCTTGTTCCCTGCAGATAGAGCTGCTGGATTTGGCAAACAAAAATCCCTCCCGATTCCTGGGGCATATTTATACTAAAAAGTGATTCATTATCTGGAATTCACGTGCGTCCGGGCATCCTGTGCGTTATCAGCAACCCCACGTGCAGGGCATGTTCAGCTGTGTGCAGTGGGCCCAAAGCTCAAAGAACGGGGGAGTCTTAGGCAGTGGCCTGAGGACTTGCAGAGGCATGGAATCTTCTGGAGCCTTGCCTCACTGCGCCCTTTCATTCACTCACCCAACACTTGTCGGGAGCCCACTGTGGGCCAAGGCCTGTGCCAGGCCCTGGGGCTGCAGAGACGACTCAAAACCCCACAGACTTCACTTCACGGTGTGTGAGAGATGCAGACACGTGGAGAGATGGTGGCTAGACTGTGGAAAGGGATGGAGGGAGGTGTGTGGGGCGGTGGGAGCCCAGAGATGGTCTGGGGGAGTCAGGAAGGCTCCACGGACAGGGGCCTAAGGGCAGAGTCCTGAGCAAGAGCCTGGACGCGTGTTTGGTACCTGGCTGTCACCCTGCAAGGATTAGGTGGAGAAATGCCTAAAAGCAAAGAGCGTCAGGGCCTGTCAGCCCCTGGAGCATGGAAGTCTTCAGGCACTGGAGCTGGTGGCGGCCCTGGGGGCAGGGCCCTGGGGCCCGGGCCACATGGGATAACCCCGCACTCATGCACTGTGACGGCAGAGAAGCAGCAATCTGTGCGCGCACCCCAGTCCCCGGGGGGCTCGTGAAAGGCCCCAGTCTCAACCCTTCTGACTCCTAGGACAGGGGCCAGGAATATGCATTTTTAACCAGCTCCCCGGGTGATGGGGATCACAGACTTGTCACCGAAAGTTCAGTCTCTGATCCCAATGTCAATCCAAATAACGAGAATGGAGTCTTGGGAGAAAAAGGGAAAGGCTTTACTTGGCCAGGCAAGGGGAGCAAAGCAGCAAGGGCCAGTGCCTCCAAAGTTGCTTGCTCCCCGTTAAGAAACGGGTGGGGGTTTTTATTTGGGGTTTTAGGTAGAGGTGGGGGGCCGTGGCCTTCTTGGTCTGCATTTTCCCATCGGCCTGTGTCTGGGGCTGCTTCCAGCAGAGGAGACTAAGGATTTCTCAGAAGAGCGTGCTTGGCTGTTTATCTCCATGGTGGAAGGTAGACTGACGTCAGGGAGCCGAGGAGTTGGGCCTGGAAGCTTTGGTTTCTTGATATTCTCTGGACGTTATTTTCTCTGTAAAAGAACTTAAAGGTCCTGGGATTAGCCACAACTTTAGTGGGAGCCCAGTTTGAGGCCATCTGGGCTTTAAGGATTTGTAACTGCTATTTGGTTGTAAAGCTCAGGGAGTCAGAGGTTAAAGAAACAAACATTTACATATGAGTGTAACTAAAGACCCAGGGAACTAGGAATGCGGGTTTTTACTTTTAACCCCACACATGCCAGGTTCACTGTAGGGGAACCACTATCAGGGCTGATATTAATAAGAGCCGGTAACATTCTGAGGAAAGCTCCTGTAGGTCGAAGCCTCTTCGTTGCCCCTAGCCTTCAAACAACCCCCTGACCCGGCATCGTTATCATCATTCCGCCGGGCAGCCGGAGAAGTGGACATGTGTGTGCTTGCTCACAATTCATTCGCTCAGCACACCCAGGATGGAGGCTCGGCCCCACATCTCCTGGCCTCCATCTCAGCCTCCTTTACCCCACACCCGCAGACCCAGCTTCCCAACCTTTATCCCCGGCCCGACCTGGGTCCCTAACATTTGTGAAGGAACGTTTACCTGCTGATCGAATCTGCAAAGAGTTTGTGGCAGGTTCTCTGGGAGAGACCAAGGGAGAGGCAGGGGCTCAGAGAGGGGCCCCCCGGGCATACGATGAGTGCTCAGCTGCTAGCACGACCAGAGGCTGTAGTCCTATGAGTTGCGGAGCAGCCACCACTCTCCAGAAGGCTGTGTGCGTGCGTGCATGCGTGCACATGTGCACACATGTATGAGCAGCAACGTGGGTGGATGTCAGAGCTTTTCCTATCTGTTCCCTGTATGTCTTCCTGGAAAATCACCAGCAGCAAGGGCGTGCTCTCTCATACCATATTCTCTCACAAACGACCCGGTGTTTGTGTCTACAACTGTTGCCGCCTTGGTGCTGTCTCACTCCCACCCCATTCCTTGTGGAAAGGGGGCAGATGGTCCGCCTTGGGGTGTGGCTCT